GGCGGAGGGCAGGGCGCCTCTCCTGGCGCGCCTCCGCGGGGATTGCGGGCTCCGGAGAAGCGGAGGCTGCAACCTCTCGGGCCCCGCTCAGCGCAGCAGGTGGAAGAGGAGGAGGAAGGAGAGGAGGAGGAGGAAGAGGGGAGGAAGAAGAAGGAGAAGGAGGAAGAAGAGCAGAGGGGGAGGAGGAGGGCCAGCGATGCACGGGAGGCTCGCCGCGGAGCGAAGTCCCGGACCGCGAGGGAGACGCGCTTCCCGAGTTCCTTCGGCGTCTCCCGGGCCGCTTCGATTCCTCCATGGCGGCGGCGGGGGGGGGTCTCCTCGCGGCCCCCGGGAGCAGCCTGGCCGGCGTCCTCGGAGCCCCTCCCGGCAGCAAAAGCCCCGCGCCGTTCGCGTTCCAGTCGAGCGGCCGGAGCGGCGGTTGGAAGCGGTCGTTGCATTCCGACCATTGCTGCTTTCGGAGTTGGTAGCGGTCGCTGCGGCGCCTTGGTGGTGAAGTTGGTAGCGGTCGCTGCGCTCTGGTGGCGGAGAAGGAAGAGGTCGCGGGGTCGCATCGCTCGTGGCGGAGATGTTTTTCAAACGCGGAGTCTACCGGTTGCCTCCTTTCGGTGATTTGGGGTCGCCCTCGGGGCCAGCCTTTCCCCGCCTCCGAGCTTTGCCTGCCGGGCTCCCGGCTCTCCTGCGCCCCCCTCGGAACCAGGCGCCGTCGGGGCGGTCCGTACAGAGAGAGAAAGAGAGAGAAATAGAAGGAGAAAGAGAGAGAGAGAGAAAGAAAGAGAGAAGGAGAAAGAGAAAGAAAGAGAGAAAGACAGACAGACAGAGAGAGAGACAGAGAGAAAGAAAGAGAGAGAGAGAGAAAGAAAGCTATGTGGGAAGAGACAGAGAGACACACAGAGGGACAGACACAGAGAGACAGAGAGACACACAAAGACAGAGAGAAAGAGAGAGAGAGAAAGAAAAGGAAGAAGGAAAGCTATTTGGCAAGAGAGACAGAGAAAAAGAAAGAGAGACAGAGAGAGAGAGAAAGAA